AGAACAATGTTGGCTCTCGGGTTTGCATATATACTTTTTACTATGTTGAAGAAATTCCTCTCTAGTCCTATTTTGTTGAGTGTTTTAAGAAATAAAGATGTTCAATTTTGTCAAAGGACTTTTGTGCATCAATTGATAGGATCATGTTGTTCTTGTTCTTCTTTGCTTTGTTAATATGATGAATTACATTAATTGTTTTTCTTATGTTGAACCACCTTTGCATACCTGTTATGAATCCCACTTGGTCATGGTGAATTATTTCTTTGATGTATCATTGAATTCTATTCACCAGTATTTTATTTAGGATTTTTGCATCAATATTCATGAGAGATATTGGCCTATAGTTTTCTATTTTGGTGGTGTCTTTTCCTTGCTTTGATATCAAGGATATGTTTGCTTCATAGAATGAATCTGGGAGGGTTCCATCTTCTTCTATTTTCTGAAATAATTTATGTAGAATTGGTAACAGTTCTTCTCTGAATGTTTGATAAAATTCACTTGTAAACCATCTGATCCAGGGCTTTTTTTGTATTACGTTTTTTTCGTTGTATTACGTTTTCAATTTCTTGTTTTATAATGGGTCTGTTCAAATGTTCAATTTTGGTTTGTGTCAGTTTAGGTAGGTTGTGCATTTCTAAGTATCTGTCCATTTTCTCTAGATTTTCATACTCATTTGAGTATAGTTTTTCATAATACTGTAATGTTAACTTTTTTATTTTAGTTGGCTCAGTGGTGGAGCTACCTGATTCATCTCTTATTCAGATTATTTGTGTCTTCTCCTTCTTTTCTTTTATGAGTTTTGCTAGTGGTTTATCCCCTTTATTGATCTTTTCAAAGAACCAACTCCTAGTTTTGTTGATAGTTTCAATTGTTTTTCTGTTTTCTATTTCATCTATTTCTGCTCTAGGTTTTATAATTTTCGGTTTTTTAGAGGGTATTGGGTTTTCTTGCTGTTCTTTTTCAATTTGCTGGAGATATTGGGCTAGAGAGTCAATGGTCCATTTTTCCTGTCTTTTGATGTGTTTGCTTATTCCTATAAATTGCCCTCTGATTACTGCTTTGGCTGTTTCCCAGAGGTTTTGGTAAGTGGTGTTTTCATTGTCATTTGTTTCAAGAAACTTTTTAATTTCATTTTTTATTTCTTTTAGTACAGTCATGTTCAAGCAAGGTGTTGTTCAGCTTCCAAATGTATGTTTTTTTCTCCTTTATCTTCCTAATATTAATTTCTAATTTTGAAGCATTATGGTCTGAAAAGATGCTTTGTATTATTTCTATGTTTTTTAATTTATTGATGCTTGCCTTGTGACCTAGAATGTGATTTTTTCTGGATAATGTTCCATGTACATTGGAAAAGAAGGTATACTATGTCTTTTTGGGGTGCATTAGCCTACAAATATCTATGAGATCAAGTTAGTTTATTGTGTGGTTTAATTCTTCAGTATCTCTGTTGAGTTTCTTTCTGGTAGTTCTGTCTTTTCCTGAGAGCTGTGTATTGAACTCTCCAAGCATTATAGTAGTGTTATCCTTTTTCAGTTTTGTTAATGTTTGTTTTATGTATTTTGCAGGTCTTTCATTTGGTGCATAGATATTTATTATTGTTATGTCCTCTTGTTCCATTGACCCTTTCAGCATCATGTAGTGACCTTCCTTGTTCTTTGTGATGGTTTTTCCATTGACATTTATTTTATCCGAGATTAATATCTCTACTTCTGCTTTTTTCTGGTTGCCATTTGTTTGGTATATATTTTCCTCCACCCTTTTATTTTTACTCCATCTTTATCTTCATTTTTCAGGTGTGTCTCTTTAGACAACATATTGATGGACTTTGCTTTTTTTATCCAATCTGCTACTCTTTTTCTCTTCAGCAGTGCATTTAAACCATTCACATTCAGTGTGACTATTGAGAGGCTAGGTTTTGTTTCTTTCATTCTGTTGAGTTCTTTTTGGTGTTGTTGCTAGTAACTTTGGACCATGCAGCTTTTTGTGGTATGTCTGTAAGAAAGACATCTCTGAGTCTCTCCTGCAACACCGGTCTTGTTTTTATAAACTCTCTTAGGTTCTGCTTTTCTGCGATATCTTGATCTGTCCTTCATAATTGATGGATAATTTTGCTGGGTACATATTCTTGGTTGGCTGTTATGTTCTTTGAGTGTTTGATATGTGTCCTTCCATTCTCTTCTTGCTTGCATGGTTTCAGCTGAGAAATCGGCACTTAATCTTATCTGTTCTCCCTTAGAGGTTACTCTTTGTTTCTCCCTTTCTGCTTTCAGTATTCTCTCCTTATCTTTGGTTCTGGCAAATTTAACTATGATATGCCTTGATGTTTTTCTTTTCAGGTCTAATCTATGTGGTGTCACGGAGCTTCTTGAATATATATTCTCTTGTTCTTCATTATGCCTGAGAAGTTTTCCTCTAGTTGTTCTTCTACAACTTTTTCAGTGCGTTTACTTGCTTCTTCCTTTTCTGGGATTCCAATGATGTGCATGTTATTTCTCTTGATGGTGTCCCACATTGTTTTTAGGTTTTCTTCTTTTTCCTTCTTTTTTGAGTCTTTTTTTTTTTTTTTGCTCTAGCAGATCAGTGGTGACAATTCTATCTTCAATTTCACTGGTTCTGTTTTCCATCTCTTCAACTCTACTCATGTGTCACTCCATCATGTTGACAGCCTCTGAAACATTGGAGTTTATATTTTGAATAGTGGATTCTCGTTTGTCCAGTGTTGCTAATGCCTCGTTTGTTTTCTCTGCAATGTTCTCCATTGTTGTTTTGAGCTCCTCCTGGTTTTTCTTGTAGTATCCTGTAATTCATCAAGTTTGTCTTTCATCCATTGAATATAGTCAATCACTCTTCTTTAAATTCTGTTTCAGAAAGTTCCATCAGACTTTCTGGATTTAGGAAATCCGCTGATACTGTGTCACCATTTGGGGGTGACATCTTTCTTTGCTCCTTTGTTTTGTGTGGGATAGCTTGCTCTCTTCGATACACTGATATGTTCTTGATCTGAAGACAATGCTCTAGAGATCAGCTGGGCAGCTACCCCACTTGTGTGTTTCTCTGAACTTCTGACTTCAGAGAAATGGCAGTTCAGAGCTTGTGAGAGCAAACTCTTGTCGGTAAGACAGGTCAAGTTGTTCCTGATTAAAGTCAAGTTGATTGTCCAGACGTGTAGGCACTGATATAGATCAAATGGGGTGAGGCAGGCACAGGGTTGGGGTGATCGTAAGGGTATGTCAAACCCTTGGAGAACCTCATTAGAACCTCAGCTGTCTGAGTGTGCTCATGATTGGGGTCTGTACTCAAATTCCCACTGTCCGTGTCCCACCTAGTGATTTTCACTCAGTGGTCCCTGCCCAACAGCACTTATGCAGGTACCCTCACAAAGTAGCCCCTGCCCAAGCAGGATCCTGGATCGAGTAGGACCTGAAAAGTCAAAGTCAAATTCCCACTGACACACTAGTCTGTGGCTGTTCTGCAGAGCCCACAAAAGTTCAGACAGATTACCAGTGGCTGGCTCATTTCTGGGCAGTCAGTGTGGCCCAAGAGAGCTTGGCCAAACTCCCCACCAGTGGGCACACCCTTGGTTACTCTCCTAGGTAATTGGCAGTGCCCCAGAAAACCCAGTCAGGATCCTACCAGCCTTTCTCCTTCCAGATTAGCTCCACAGCAGCTCAGCTGGTGGCCTCTGGTGATGACAGGATCCGAGGGAGCGCCCTGGGTCACAGGGCTGTGGATGGTGCTGATGCCATGGTTGTGGAGCTGACGGGGGGGGTTGGGGGGGCGGGGGAGTGGGTGAAGGCAAGGGGCTGTGGTGGAGTATGAGCAGGGGCTTGGGACACTACCACCAGGAGGCAGAGGCGGGTCTTGGGCACTGCTGGGGGTTTATGCAGTGGCACCCTCTGTGATGGGTTAACACCAGAGTGGGCCGCAGGGGAGTCACACAGTGGTGGGCCATTGCTTCTCAGGGGTCACAAGGTGGTCGCTCCTCTGGGGTTAAGTAGTGTCTGTCAGGCAGTGGCTTTTCCTGGGTCTCATAGAAGCTGGAGCCTTAGGTTGCTCCTCTGGAGTCACACGGTGGCAGGCAGTAACTCCCTGCTTGCTCCAGGTCACTGGGGGTTTGTTTGCTCCAGCAAGTACAGTTCAATAAAGCATGCCTTGTCTTGCATTAGCAAACTGCTGATGCTCAAGGTTGTAGGGTAGTTGCAATCCATGTAATCCCGAGGCTGACGGTAGGAAGACGCATGGCGGCTCTACTTCTAGAACATTTTCATCAGCACAAATGGAAATGCAGACCCACCAGCAGCCACTCGACACTCTCCATTGCCCTAAGACCCAGGCAGTCACTAATTACACTATGGGTTTTCCTGGTCTGGACACTATGAGCTAATGGATTCATACAACACATGATTTTTATGACTAGCTGCTTCTACTCCTCCTCCTCATCTGTGAAGCAGCATGTTGAAGAGTTTTCACCGTCTGCATGACTGAGTAAGTGTCCTTGGGGCAGCTGGAATCCATCATGTTTCTCCATAATCTAATGATCGACATTCAGGTTGCTTGTACATTTGGGTTTAGGATTAATGTTGCTATGAACACTCAGGTACATCCTTATGTGTGACCCTGTTTCAGTGTTCTATTACCACTTCCAGTGAATCAATTCTGACTGACAGCTACCCTTTAGGATGGAGGAGAACTGAAACTTAGGGTTTCCAAGGCCAAGCAAGGATGCCACCTCACTGACTAAGGTGCACGTACCTGACACCAATGTATTTTTACCCCACATAAACATGAGAAAGTCAGATATAAAGGAAAGTCAAGGGAAATTGATGCCTTTGAATTATGGGATTGATGTAAAATATTGAATACACCATGGACTGCCAGAAAGAACAGACAGATCTCTCTTGAAGGAAATGAAATCAGGGTGCGCCTTAGAGCAAAGATGGCAGGACTCTTCATCTTACAGATTTTGGGCATGTTATCTGCCAGGACCAGTCCCTGGGAAAGGATACAAACTTTGGAAAATTAGAGAGTCATCAAAAGGGAGGAAACCCCTTGGTGAGGTGGGTTGGAATGAATGACAGATGACTGCTAAAATGGGGTGAAGCACAGTGGCAGCTGTGGGGCTGGCTCAGGACCAGCCACAGTGTCCCTCAGTTGTACATTGGGTCTCTGTGTTAAAGCTGACTCAACAGCAAATAACGACAACTGATCATCTAAATTAGAGAACGTTTCTCCTGGGAAGGGGCTGGTGGGTTTGAACCATTAAGCACTGGGTTAGCAACCAGATTCTTGAGCAATTGTACTTTCAGGGCTCCTTCAGTGTTGCATAGAAGTCTGTGCTTAGTCTTCTGATGAACTGCCGACTCTTTCCTAAAGCTCTTACACCATTTTACTTTTCCTGCAGCAGTGGATGAGGGTTTGCAAGTTTTAATACGGTGCTCAGAGAAGGCCTCACGGAGGAAGTGGTATATGTGCAGATACCTGCAGCAAGTGCAGGGGAAGCCAGACTTTCTCTGTGGCAAAAGCCCTCCAGGCAGCGGGAGCAACCTCTGCATATACCCTGCTGGACTATGGGCTTGGCTAGTTTGAGGGAGAGGGAGGAATCCCTGGTGTCTGGAGTGGAGTGAAAATGGGAGAGAGGAGGAGAGGAGGGCGGGGGTTGGGGGAACATGGCAGGGCATGCGGGTTCCCTTGCACATGGAGAGAATTTGTCGTTTTACCCAAGAGTGGTGGGTGCCCTGGAGAGCTGTTGGCAGAGAGACCTGGGATGAATTCCCAGGCTCACGGGTGCCCTCTGGCTTTTGTGTAGAGAATAGCTTGAGGGGGTAATGAGAACAAGTCTGAATCAAGTGGAGGAGGATTGGGGACGAGGTGGTTACAACCTGCATACATTATAGAGGAGACAGGTTGGAGGACAGGTACAGAGGGGAGAGAGGAATAAGAACCCCCTGTTATCCCCCACCCCCACCCCACATACCCGCACTCACTGATATTATCAGGCACAAAGGTCAGGAGATTGGTGGTGATGCCCCCGGGGTGGATGGCTGTGATATTGAGCACGTGAGGTAACTTGGAGAAATTCATGAAGTCTGAGATGCTACAACTGAGGGAGCCAGGTATCGACTGATTGCAGGGCTTGCTGTCATCCATTCCGACCCTGCAGGAGATGGACACTGTGAGGGACTGGTGGTCTTCAACAGGGGACAGGGAAAAGGTGCTGTGTCCTCCTCTAGTGCTGCCGTGTGGCTGTACAGGCACTGGACCTCCCAGGGAGATGCTTCAGTGTTTGGATTCCAGGGGATTCTGAAAAGCATACACCCCACCTGTTGAATTCTAATAGTCCTGGGACCTAAGGCTCCCAGTCTTGAAACTGAAACAAGGACATCGCAGTCTATACCTTACTGTGACTCCTTAGATTTCAGAACTTAGAATTTTCTTAGAATTACATCATCACTATCAGGTAGAATTTTCTCGAATATTTCCATTGTTTTCGTTGGCAGAGGAGGAGGCACCACCCAGGCATGTATGGAACACTTGTGATGCAGTGAGTGCCTGTGGGTGTGACCACATTTCATCTCATTTTCCCTAATTTAAATTTAGCCACAGACTCTTAGCAATTCGTAAGCGAATCTCATCACTATGAGTAGATTCTGACTGTTGGAGACCCTGGAGGAGCCATGGGTTCCAAGTCCACCACCTGATTCTGAAATTTTAAATCATTAAGTAATGAATCTGCTTGTCTGTCTTCTGTGGAGCTGCTAGTGGACTTGAACCACAGACCATCCAGTTAGCATCCTGACACATAACACATTCAAAGCACACAAATAAAAAATATAAAACTGACTGCTGGCAAGACATGACAGTCCGCGGCCCCCAGGAGGTCTCTGAGCCTGTAAATCACATTTGAAGAGATTGCCTACTTTTGACCTTTGGAATCGCTGGTGGATTCGAACTTCCAGAGAGGCACGGCCTTTGTGTCAGCAGCGGCACTCCTTATGGACTATGCCACCAGTGCTCCATGCTTCTACTTTTTTTTTTTTTATGAAACATTTAAATTTCCTTTGGGACCAGTGCATCTGTATTTCAATGGCATGTGGTATGTGCTCAGAAGAAAATCAACAAATGACCCCACGCGTGTCAGTACAGAACTGGGCCCCACAAGGGACTGCATGCCTGATGGGTCAGAAGGATCATGAGGACTTTCTTCCAAGGCACCTCTAGGGGTAATGGAACCCAGCCTGCTCGCTGAACAATGGAGTCTCAAGGAAGAATGTTCTACCCTGTGGTTCTCTGACCTGTATGTGGTGATGAAGTGGGTGGACACGTTGGCCTCTGTCGCTGGGGAATGTGTCCAGGAGCAATCAATGCTGATAGGGTACCTGGAAGCTCGACACTGCACCTGCAGGCTCGGATCTGCTGGGAGAAAGGAAGGGGCATCAGGGTGAGACAGTTGGGAACAGGCTTTTTGCAAAGCAGAGCCGAACGTGGCTACTTTCTGCCTTTCTAGTTGCTTACATCCATGTCTGAGTCACTCTCATATGTCATTGTCTGTTGTTGTTATGGCCTGCGACTCATAGTAACCCTATGTATAAAAGCCCTAAACCCTGCTCTATCCTGTGCCAATCCGACTGTCTCTGACACTCATATACCAACTATCCCAGTACTGAAATCAATCCATCAAATCAAGTGTCTGCATCTCTGGCACTGTCTTTCCACACTACACGGTGTGCCTCTCCAAGGACTGGTCCCTTCTTGCAAAATGTTCAAAGCATGTCAGAATAAGCTTCACAATCCTTGCCTCCAAAGAGCAGCCTGCTTTCACCCTCTTTTGACCAACCTGTTTCTTCTCCTAGCCGTCCATGGTAAATTCAACTCTCTTCTCCAGCATCACAGCTCTAAGGCATCAATTCTCCATTCATCATCCCCAGTGATTGTCCAGCTTTCTGACACATAGTAACTATTTGCAAACAGTATGACCTTGATAGAGGGGAAATGAGCTAAGGTGGCCGAGGGACATGAAAGTCTCTCTGTAAGGACCAGAGCAAGTGAGAACACAGCACTTCCCAGCAGCAGAAGAGAATGCAGTTAAGAGTCCCTAGCTCAGCCTCACGAGTTTTAAAGCCACTGTAGAAACAAGACGTTTGTGTATCATTGCTGTCTTACAGACTCACAGTATGACTTTCGTGAGAATGTGGTTTATTAGGGAAGTAAGTCAGAAAATAGAGGTGGCAAAGAATATCATCCAATGCGACTCCAGATTTCAGCCTAAGATCCAAGGCATAATGCCTCAGTTAGATCAGGATCTGGTTTCAGTTCAACAGTTAAATACAAATCATCCAGCAAGGTTTGCCTTAGACCAATTATAAGTCAGCTTCTCCATTAAGCGTCTGGCAAGAATAGCAAAAACCTTTAACCGGCTCCTTTATGTCAGTGATTTTCTGCTCATACCTTGTCACCATTTCTCCATAATTATGTCACATTTTCTCCACAATTGGGGTTTCACTCTCACTATGATCTTGCTTTAGTGTCCTTCAAGACTTGCTGCCACAATACTTGCTTTCCTCATAACTTGCCATCAAATGTGGGAAACACCATTTCTCTTATCCTAGGCCCACAGCTGTTAGTGATTTCCAAGACCAAGTGTCTACAGTTAAGGTAGCTGGAGACCAGCAGAAGATAATTGTAATAGCTAAGAAAAAAACCCCAATTTAAGGTTAACATCACAATCACCTATAGTGATGGCGTAGACTCTTTGGAGCCCTGGCTCTGAGCTCCTGCTGGGTGGCACTGACACACAAGTTTGCCCTGCCACTGCCCAGAACTTTGCCTCTGAGTATGTTTAACCTTAAGAAACTCCCACATCAGCATCTCTGAGCCCCCTGCCTCTTTCGTTGTTCTGTTAACACCTTAGGGCAAATGTCAAGTTACTTGTCCATGGCCACATACGGGTTCATCCTGAGACTCTCAGAGCTGTGCTGTGAGCCCAGCCTTGCATGAATCCAGCAATGCCTGAAATATGAGCAGGTGTCTAATCCCCACAGCTGAAGAAATAAACTCATTCACACAATTATTCATCTATAGGAGCTATGCTGCCAACACAAAGTCACACGGTTTGAGTCAACAAGCTACACCTTGAGAAAAAGATTGGCAATCTCTTCCTCTAGAAGGTCAGCTATGGGTCATTCAGCTCAGTAGTGCTTAACCACTTGCAAGTTAGAGCAAAGTTCAGTCTGTTGTTCTTGGGGTCACCATGAGTCAGACACAACTGGAAAACATGTAGCATCAACAGTATTTCAGTTATGAGAGCCAGGCCTTTCCTCTTAGTCTCTCTTGATCTGGAAGGTGCTGAAACCTGCCTGCTATGGGTGACCCCCTGCTATTTGTGTCAGTGGTACAGCTTCCAGCATCACAGAAACACACAAGCCACCACAGCAGACACAGAGTAGATGGTGGTGGACATGAGGATGGAGCAGAAAGGGAAGGGTCTCCTTCTGCTGAGGGCAGGGCCTAGGGGTCAGTGTGACTTCACCAGCAACAGGACACCAGCTCTGATTTAGCCTACAGTCTCCAATCCCACTGCCCTCAACGTTCTGCTGACATTACCCCCCTCCACTGCACTTCCGAGGTTATAAATCTTTACAGGAAGACACTGCCTATCTTTCTCCTGAGGGTCAGCTGGAGGATCAGAACTGCTGACCTTAGGCACAGAACTGATGAAACACTATGCCATCAGAAGCCCTACATCCCACGAAGGCAGGAGTTGTCAGCCCATTTTCTGAATGGCTAAACTGAGATTCGGGAGCCACAGAGGGAAACAGAGTTGCAGGCATGCAGTTGGCAGGGACACAGATGGGTGTATCTTGATAGTGCCTGTTTAGTGTTCAGGCACATGACAGTTTCTATTTTAAAATGAGTGCCTACAGTGAAATCATGACTAAATCAGCGTACCCTGGCTATGGAGTGAACCTTGGTCGTAGAATCCAGTGCCCCCCACACGCTGTCATCTTAGTATTGACAATTCAGAATTGACCCATAGCACATCCTCCAGTAGGGTTTTATAGGCAGGAAATCACAAGGGAGTTGACGGTACATTTTTCTTTGGCAGAGCAGCTGTTGGATTTGAACTGTGTGCCTTTGGGTTGGCAGGGCAGCTTGTTATCAACTAAGCCACAGCCGTCCCCTATGGCGGAGGGAACCCCATCGCAGAGGATCTAGATTGAGGAGGACGGCCCAGGCTTGGCCCCGGATCAGCATTCATAGGTGGATCACCGTGAGTCGGATTTGACTCCTGGGCACCAAGTGGGAGCAGATGACCAGGCCTTTCTCCTGTGGGGCCAATGGCTGGATTCGTTTCCCATCTTTTGTTCAACAGTTTAATGCAACACCTGGGCTCCATATCCTGGGAGGCTGACCCCTCCATGTTTGTATCCACATCTGCATCTGTGGTGACAGCCCAAGGCTGCTGTTGTTAATGGGGAGAAAACAGCCTCATTTCCCCACGGAGCAGCTGGAGGGGTGAAATGGCAAGTTTCAGGTCAGCCAGCAGCCCTGTCTCCTCACCCCATATTTCACCTTCCCCTCTGGCATTCTATGTGTTTGTGTCTGTCGTGCCCCTATCTATGCCGTTTCCCATCTGTAAGATGAGGAAAGTGACCCTTGCCAAATATTGGTACATTCTGTGAGTTAGTCTACCCCATCCCACTCCGTATGTTCAGACCTGATCTAAGGGTCAATGGCAAGCTCTTTGCTCAAGCCCTGCCTGGGGGACCCCTTTCCTTAACCACCACAGGGCCCTTTGCACCTTTACTTCCACTGCAGGACATGCAGTTGGCTCAGAGGATCAAGGTCCGGAGAAGGTTGGGGACCATGCCAGTGCTTCCTGGTGCTGAGAGGGGTGCATTGGAGACTCGCTGGCCAGGCCTCTCTCTGACTCATGCAGGGTCTGATAGCAGCCAGCACTAGGCGGGAATCTGACTTTCTTTAAATAGTGCTGAGGGTCCTGCAGCCTTTTTACAGCCCCTCCTTCGGATCGGTGGGTGGTGGGGAAGGGCTGGAATGTCCACAGCAGTGGGGTAGAGGTCAGGAACAGAGATGTGGGGACCCTAAGGCTGATGATTCCCAGCATGTCCAGTCCTTCCATCCTGCCTTCTTGATGGGAAACACAGGTGAGGGGAAGCAAAAGGTCACAATTCTTGACACTCTATTTCCGGAAAATGCTCATATTTTGTTCATCATTGCTTATTTTCCCCCCACTTCATCTCAATTTTATAACCAATTTATTGATAATATGCTTCATCATGGAAGCAGGACCGGCATCCACATCCTAAATAACATGCCTCCAGAAACTTTATGAACTTTGAAAATAATCGATAGTTGTAGAGACGCTTCAAGCCTTTAGTTCATAGGCTCGCTATGAGTCATGCTCGACTTGAAGGCAATCAGCAACAAGAAGTCCAACATACTTTATCTACATGACCGAGTTTTGCGTGCCCCTTTAAAGCTTTCCATGGTGGATTATGCTCATTAGAGGTGCCTCTGAAGACAGGCCTGGGAATCCACTTCTGAAAACTCTGAGCCACTGAAAACCCAATGGAGAACAGTTCCGTTCTCACACATATGGGGGTGCTATCAGCTCAAGGGCAGCTGTTGCACAGACCAGGTCACCGCTGACCCCCCTGGACCACGTTCTGTCTGCATGATGCTCACCAAAGGACAGAGTTTTAACTGACAGCCCACCCCACACTGCTGCCAGCCAAATAGGAACCACTCAAGTGTGCTCAAGTGCCATGGAATAAAGCCTGGCTACCTACTTGCAGAAAACCATCGATTGACAAGCTTACAGAGCCCGGTTCTATTCTGATGTACACAGAGGTAATGTAAGTTACAGCAAGTGGTTTAGTGTCAGTTTTTTTATAAATTTGTAATCCCTCGCTTACCCCACTCAGGGCCCTGTCTTGCTTGCACACACTCTCCCTTGCCCACAGGGTTATCCAGTAGCTGGGTTATGAGCTTTGCTTTCTGGCCGTTGGCAGAGGGATGTTTCAGTGCTGGGTGGGGTTTGGTGACAGGTGGACGGGAAGTTGGATGGCCACAGACTCTCCAGTCAGGTGGGGACAAGGTAGGGGTGCAGTCAGGTGATGATGTTCAGGAAGGGGTCCCACATTCCCCCCAGGTTTGAAAGGGCAGTGTAGAGTCTCAGTGTGTGAGTGGACCTGGTCCACTCAGATGGGCAGAGTCATGGGGAGGGGATGTTGGAGCAGAGACCTCTGAGGAGTAGCACACAACTCCTGCCTTCAGCAGCCCTGTGCTTGGAGCCTCTTCATTTGCAGAATCTGATTAAGGATTCACTGAAAGTCTTTTTCCATTTGGCCCTGGGGATATAGGGAATAGAGGGTCTGGGATCCTGCCCAAAGCCCCATTCTTCTTCCACAGCCTTAATCTAGCCAGCCCACCTGGAGGATGAACACAAAAAGTTTACAACAGGCACAGGGACTCTGTCAAGGTCAGAGTTTCCAGAAAGATATGGAGAGACTGAGGCCCAGCTAGCTGCATGGGCTGGCCTAAAGCCAGATGGGCATTGTGTCAAAGACCAGGTAGTGAACTCACTCTTGTTAGACTCACCTGGATCATGTAGTGCTGGTGACTCTGGTACAAGGCCATGAAAGTGCTGTGGTGCCTGGCCGTCTGAAAGGAGAAATAGATAACAGCAGGAGACTTCAATAAACCACTCTTAAGAAAAGATAGAGCTACCAGAAAGAACTCAACAAACATGTGTAAGAATTAAACCACACGATAGATGAACTCAACGTCACAGATGTATACTGGGTAATGAAAAAAAAAAAGCAAAAGCAAAAGCAACAGCTAAGCATACCTATTTCACCAATGTGCATAGAATACTCTTCAGAACATATCACATTTTAGGTAACAAAGAAACCATCAATAAATTAAAAAAACACAGAGAAATAATACATAGTACTTTCTCAGACCACAGTGATACAAAACTAGAAATTAATAACAAGAGAGTCCAGCAGGACCAGAGGACAGGAGACAAGCTGGCCAGCCATGACTGTGAGAGAGCACACAGAGGTGATATTGACGGGACCTCAGTGGGTAACCACTGGACCAGGCGAAGAAGGAGCCCTGGTGTCTTAGCAACTTGAGTAAACAAAAAGCCACTACAGAATCTTTTCCATTTTCAATCTATGTTTTCACACAGACAAAATTATATCTATTCATCAGCTCAATCCGCCGCATAGGCACACAACACATGGATGGCGATTAATTAGGGAAAAAACTAAATTTACACCACCTTCAAGAAAGAGTGAACTGAGCTGGGAGTTCTGACACACTGGAAACTGTGGCCCATGGGTAATAAGCGACCCACCAGGACCCAACAACTTGCTGCAACACACAGTGACCCTCTGGGACCTTCTGGGACCCACCTGTACACACCTCATCCCTTCACAACCCACTGAACAGCTGGGAGCGAGCAGGACAGCTGAAATTTAAGTGAGAGAAAATCAAAGCCTGAGACCAACACTCCAGTCCTGACACTGATGCCCCTCTGCCCCTGCTGGTAACATGGCCTGGGCCATGCTGAGAACTCTGGTCCCAACGCCTTAGACCTGGGTCATGCTGAGAACTCAGGCCCTGATGCTGATGGCCCTGGCAGGAACAATGCTGACCTTGAGCGAGGTACTTTTCTGAGAGCCAATGTCTTTGGTTGGATCACGTGGGTCCACTTAAGCTCAAGCAGATGAGAGTTCCTTCTCACAGGGAAAACCGAGGCTTGTAGGTTTTCCATCATGTCTCCGCATTCTGCCTTGCATCTCCTCACAACTAATCCATCAACTGCCTTTAACACCTGGGGCTACTCTAGCTGCAGATGTTGTCGGGCACAGAAGGCATCTTTCACAGGCCTTTTGTTCTAGTGAACTGAAGCAGATCTTCTCTTGGGTCAGAATGCAGAGAAAAACCCAGGCAGGGTAGCTGCTCCACCTTCTTTTGGAGCAGTGAGTTCAGATCAAGAAACTGCTATGGCCTCAGACAGGAAAACTCCTGTTATTGTGGTGTATTTATGTGCTGTCGAGTTGTTTGCGACTCATAGCGACCCTGTGTACAACATCCCTAAAACCTGCTCTGTCCTGTGCCAATCGCACTGCCTCTAACACACCCATCCCGATTGTCCCAGTCATTGACTCGAGCCACCATATAGAGGGTCTTCCCCTTCTGTTCTGTCCCTCCACCCTCCCAAGCATGATGTCCCTCTCCAAGGCCCGGTCCCTCCTTACAACATGTCCAAGTTATGTCAGACGAAGCCCAGAATCCTTGCTTTCAAGGGGTAGCCTGACTTAACCCTTTCCAGGATGAATCTGTTTGTTTTCTTGGCAGTCCAGGGTACATTCAATACTCTTCTCCAGCCACACAGCTCAATGACATCGATTCTCCTTCTATCCTCCCTAGTCATTGTCCAACTCTCTAATGCCTTACAAGTGATTGCAAAGACCATGGCCTGTATCAGGTGCACCTTAGTGTCCAGAGAGAAACCGTTGCTATTGAGTACTTTAGAGAGGTCCCTAACCGCAGACATTCCCATCACAATACGTTTTTTGATTTCATGGCTGCTGGTGCCAAGAGTGTTGACCATGGACCCAAGCAAACTGAAGCTGTGAAAAATCTCAATCTCTTCGCCATCCATCCTGATGCTACCTGTTGGTCCAGTGGTGAGAATCTTTGTCTTCTTGACATTGAGCCTCAGTCCATACTGAAGGCTGCAGTCCTTGAACCTCTGCAGCAAGGGCATGAGGTCCTCCTCAGTTTCAGCAAGCAGGATTGTATCATCTGCATAATGCAGATTGTTAATAGATTTTCCACCAATCCTGACGCCACACTTCTCCTCATAGAGCCCAGCCACTCAGATAAATTGCTCTGCATACAGGTTGAAGAGGCATGGAGATAGGACACATCCCTGGCAAAAAACCTTCCCAATTTTAACCATGCAGTGTTACCCTGCTCTGTTCTGACAACTGCCTCTTGGTCCAAGTATAGGTTTCGCATTAGCACGATTAAATGTTCTGGGATTCCCAT